ACCCTGCGCGCTCGTGGAGAGTCACCTTTCGGACTGTCATTTTGGACGGTCCACGGAGCCTAGCAAACTCCGTGAGTGGTATCCAGAGCTCTGTTCGTGTTGGTTTAGCGGAGCCTAGCAAACTCTGCTCGTGTGTCTTCAGTGGAGCCTAGCAAACTCCACGTGTGTGGCGGTTTTTTTGTAACTGCAACTCAAGAAAGTTTTCCTGCCTGCACCGCGACCATCTACGGTGTAAGTAAAACAATCTTTAATCAGCCTCTACGCGTCCGTGCCTAATTCTAGTTCGCCATGCCGACCCTTTTCCCCGGCCCACGTGCCCAGGCTGCTGGCCACAGCCCCTCGGCCCCGACAAGTAACATCATTGGCAAGAGTGAATTTGCACGAGTGTAAGGGCCTTGTTACACAATAATTTTAGGTAGCTTCTGGAGCTCTTCACCTCTGGATTGGCTGCACATTGAGTGCTTAAAGCACTTATTATTCATCTTAAAGCTACACCAGTCAAGGACAGGATTATCTTTAATCTACCTAGTTTTGCTCCTGTTGCATTAAGGTGTGGCAACCCTCCACAGCTTTTCCACCCCAGTTGAAATCCCCCAGCATTTCAGGATGCAGTAGCCCCTCCCGAGTCAGGGTGGGGATGCCAGGATACAGTGAGGCAAGGTACAGAGCTTGTGCCTCACTGTTCCTACTGGGCAGAGCCAGTGCCACAGACCTGGAGCTGCAGTCTCCCGGATTGGTTTGCTGCTCCTAATACCTGGGCTGGACTTCAGCCATGGTGCCTGCAGGGGGTGGCAAGCTGGTGCTCACCTCTCCCACTGACCTATGGTTGAACCTGTGCCAAGGCCCACACTCTGTCTTATACCTTATCTTATACCTTGCTAGTTCATAACAGGCAATGTGACCATCTCAATAACTTCTCAAGATTAAACCTGTGATTTGCAGAGGTCAAATTTTCCATACAACAGGAGAAATGGAATCCAGCTGTCAACTTCTAGCCAGTTTCATCAATAAAAATCACTTTTGTATGTTATACCCTCTCTAATTAGGCCATTACAAAATTCAAAATTTGCCCTTTTCTGTTATAATAACTAACCATAAAATTAATCATTATTTTCTGTCACTTACATGTGGCTCAGTAATAGCTCAGCAGATAAATCTTTGCCCAAATAATAGATTTTTCTTTACTACATTTTTTAACAAATCGCCATAGCAGTTTTTATAAAAGTAAGGTGGTGTAACCCCCACTGACTGTATCACAATTCAGCTAACTAGGCTTGTCATCTTAATTTTCCTCCCAGCATCATTTAGGTATAGGACTCTTCTTCATGTCCTGTCTAGAATAACAGCTTTACTGTGTTTAATTGAACTGATATTGCATTCCACCCTAGAGGTGGCTGTACTTTAGTAATGGATTAAATAATTCTGTCAGTCAAATTTTGAAAAGTGTGGTGCTATGAGATGAAAGATGTTGGTACAGCTGAAAAAAAGTATTTCAAGGTCTGTATGAGAGCTGCATGTGTGGTTCTGGATCTGGGTCTTACAAAGAAATCAACAATAACACATTCATCATTTCACTTCTTTTTTTAAACTTCTAAACATCTATATTACATTGTGATATACCTATCATTAAGAAAGCTGCACACTCCTGCATTGCACTTAATATTCCAAGCCATGACACTGGCTTTATTTCTTTTTTGTACTAGTCCTCTTCCCCATGGCTGCTTTTGAAATTCTGGTCTAGCTGTTGGTTTCCTGAGTGCAACACAAATATTGTGTCTAATTCAGTAATGCAGATTTCATTGTCTGATACCAAGACAGATTAAACTTAAAAGTGCTTGTGATTGTTCAACAAAACCAAACCTTACAGACATTCTTCCTTTTTATAAAATATATGCGTTTCTCCTGTTGTATGGAAAATTTGACCTCTGCAAATCACAGGTTTAATCTTGAGAAGTTATTGAGATGGTCACATTGCCTGTTATGAACTAGCAAGGTATAAGATAAGAATATTAATGCAGTTCATTGGCATGCCTGACAATCTGCATCCTGACTTTAAATCCCAGTGCCCCTTGATGAATGAGAAAATGAGAGCTATGCAAGTTTCTGGCTCTCACCTTGTAAAAAATGATGGGTTTTATGTTTAGGGTATTGCCTTTATTACATGCATTGCATAATTGTTAGAACCCCATTGTTAGAACCCTACTGTTTTACTAGTCAGGTGTATTTTAAGGCACCTGAGTCACTAAACAGCATCCTTTTTAATCCTTATGAAACACCAAAAATTGTATTTGAGTGCCTAAATCCCTTAGCTTTCATGTGTATACCTCTTTTAGTCTAAGAAGCTCTTTACCATCTCCTACACACACAGATTTGTCCTTCAGAGGATGCTTAGAAAGACAAAGATGACTTCTGTTGAAGTGCCCACATTCTATGCATATTTCCAAGAATATGAATAGAAAAGGGGCAGGTGCAACAACTAGGAAACAAAGGATGTTGTGGTATACAGGAGAGGTACAATGAGTGCCACCAAAATTCAACGTGTCACAGTGCCTATCTTTTCCCAAAGAAATAGCATTGAAAGCACCTAACCCAGGTTCTAGGCCTGCTTTGGATGTTTAAATACACACCTCCCACTTCCCAGAAAAGTGTCCTAATGACAAGACTGTGGGCTAAGCAGGGCCGATGTTGGCTTCCACCCTCCTGTTGAAGCTGAGCTACTGGGCAGCCAAGAGTGAGAGAGCATGAGATCCAAAAGGAGAGCAAGGAAGAGAGAATATGACTCTGTGGTTCATCAAAGTGGCCGCTGATCTGGGAGGAAAAGAGGCTTGTGTTGGGGCCCCTTCTCCTGCTATGGTGATGATCTATGTTTTCCAATAACTGTGTAATGCAAAATAGAGAAGCAGCCCAGGAAGAAAGCAAAAGGGAGACAGACTCTGTCTTCTGGTCTTTAGGGGAATCAGCTGAGTAGGGGAGCCCTGGCTTCTAGCTGGTACTATTAGGAGTGTTTATACATTTTTCATTGATTAACTAGCAGGAGTAAGGATCCAGGGTAAGGAGAAGCTTGAGAGAGTCCAGGGGAGAGCCACATGCATGATCAAAGGTCAGGAAAATAGACCTTATGATGAGAGGCTGAGAGCTATGGGACTCTTCAGCCTGGAAAAGCTCAGGCTCAAGGGTGATCTGGTGGCCACCTGTAAGTTTATCATGGGTGCTCATCAGGATCTGGGGGAACATCTGTTCACCAGAGCACCTCAAGGGATGACAAGATTGAACGGTCACTAACTCCTCCATGACTGTTTCATAGATTCATAGATTCATAGATGTTAGGGTCGGAAGGGACCTCAATAGATCACCGAGTCCGACCCCCTGCATAGGCAGGAAAATGTGCTGGGTTCAGATGACCCCTGGGTCTAGATGACCCCAGCTAGATGCTTATCTAACCTCCTCTTGAAGACCCCCAGGGTAGGGGAGAGCACCACCTCCCTTGGGAGCCCATTCCAGACCTTGGCCACTCTAACTGTGAAGAAGTTCTTCCTAATGTCCAGTCTAAATCTGCTCTCTGCTAGCTTGTGGCCATTATTTCTTGTAACCCCCGGGGGCGCCTTGGTGAATAAATACTCACCAATTCCCTTCTGTGCGCCCGTGATGAACTTATAGGCAGCCACAAGGTCGCGTCTCAACCTTCTCTTGTGGAGGCTGAAAAAGTCCAGTTTCTCTAGTCTCTCCTCATAGGGCTTGGTCTGCAGGCCCTTAACCATACGAGTGGCCCTTCTCTGGACCCTCTCCAGGTTATCCGCATCCCTCTTGAATTGTGGCGCCCAGTTTCAGGCTGGACATAAGGAAGAACTTCTGTACTGTCCGAGCCCCCAAGGTTTGGAATAGACTGCTGCCGGAGGTGGTTCAAGCACCTACTTTGAATGCCTTCAGGAGACATTTAGATGTCTATCTGGCTGGGATCCTATGACCCCTGCTGACTTCCTGCCTTTTGGGCAGGGGGCTGAACTCGAAGATCTTCCGAGGTCCCTTCCAGCCCTAATGTCTATGAATCTATAAAAGGTCCCACTCTCTTCTATGGTGATGTCTACTTCCCTGACCACAGAGACCTATTCCTTCTTTCTTGGTCTTCTTTGTTTTTCCTGACTGTTTGCTTCTGGGCTGGTCAGTGAACTAGCTTAAGCAAGAAGGGGAGAAGTGACCTAGCTGAGGCTATTGTGATTTAGGGCACATGCTTTAGGGCACCATCCTGGGAAATGAGAGGGCTGGGTACTGGCTTTCAAGATGTGTTAGGCTTCCCATTGGGACAATGGGAAACATAGGTGCTTTAGACATGTAATAGAATTAGGCCTCCTAAAAGGGGTGCCTAAGTTTGAGCCAAGCACCGAGCTAAGATGAAAGTGCTGTAGAAGCTTAATGTGATTTGAGATTTTGTGTATGTTTTTCTGTTGGCTGATAAGGTATATGTAGTAGCATGGATGATGACAGTTCAGTATAAAATAAAAGGTATTATTATACTAGATTCTAATAGATTAAAGCTATGCCCCATGTATGGAAGTAGTTTGGTAAGACTGTTTGTTATGTAATGTTGATTCTCAAACTGTGGTTTTGTGGACTGTGGGTGGTTTGTGAGACTGTGGGGGAGTAGTCTGTGGATCAAGTTAAACCCCACTTTTTCAATTAAAAGTTCAATGGTAAGGATTCATGGTGGATCACAGCAGTTCAGAGGATTGGCAATTGCCCATTGGTCAAACAAGAAACTATTTGTTTAATTTACGTCAGGTCAAAATAAAGGAGCAGGTGCGCTCTTTCTTTCTCTCATCTGTAGTGTTGTCAGGAAGATCTTTCAATAACCTGATTTTTTTTTTCTTTCTTACAGAAATTTTTTGATCTTGAGGAAGAGAGTGTTTGCTTTTTAAAAGAACAGAAAAATTCGTCTTTTCCCAAATTAAATCGTAACAAATATGTGGTGACTGATGGAGCTGCATACATTGGTAAGTAAACCCACAGTACAGTTGGTTTTGGTCAGTACATTAGAACTTTATAACCCAATATCTGAAATAACAATTTCATTGGTGTATTAGCTAGCTGAAAAGTTCTTTCAGTTAATGCATACTGAGTATTTTTGTCCACTTGGAGAACATTTCTGCAAACTAAACATTGAGGAAGAAATTCTGATTCCCAGAACAGAGTTGTTTAGATGTGTCTGAGTAAGATGAGTTGCATTCTGTCTTTCTTGTGAATTGGTTTCCCAAGGGAATTCAGGATGCTTTGAATTCTGAAAAAGTAGGCTGGAAGAACAATCTTAAAATGCCATACAAGAATTGGGCACAGGCTTGGAAATATGTTGGGGGATCCAACACATCCTTTTGATATATGACTTCTTTAGTTCCATGAAATGTGACTGATCTCATGATTTCCTATGTCATCATAATATTTGTGGGCATCTTGGTAAATGTAAAATGGACAACCACCCTGGTTTTCTTTAGAATTTTCTCTAGTTATGCCGATTCACTGTATACACTCTCATGATTTCAGACCACATGCACTGAACTGCAGATGGCTTGGTCTTAATCTGAAGTCATTGTTTGCAGGTTAAATGCATATTTGACAATATTACTCTAGACAGCTGAGTGTAAAAGTTCATTGTGAATAAAATATATATTAAATAGAGGAGAAAAACATAGTCTTTCCACAGTGCAACCACCTGAGCTGTGCTCTGGAACTAGAGGTTTGCTTTTAGGTAGGTAGAAAACTGCTTTGAATTTAGAAGTTAAAACATGTTTCCTCCATCAGGAGATTTTAATGAGTCCAAGAATGAAAATGTTAATTTTAAGTAGGCTACAGTACTTGCTTTAGTGGCAGGCTTCTTCAGACCTGACTTGTTACATAGTACTTAGAACCATGGTTCCTCTCTCTCTGCTGCAACCATGGTGGGAATTTGGTGGCATGATAAGAGATCCAGATGCTATTCCCTATATATGGATGAATATTAAAGGTCATGCTAACCTGGGGGCTGAGGATAGTTTTGAGAAGTTCTACCACCACTCCACCTCTTCAAGGAACTTTAGCTCCTTAGTTCCATCTTGGAGTATACATTGAATTAAAGTTCTGGGCTGTGCATATTATGCCCTCTTGATCATTGTCACTACTTTATAAGACCATAGGTAGGAGTCACAAGAATGAATGCAATGTTATAAATGTAGTTCATCGCAAGCTCATTGTCATCTGAAATATAGGTCTGTCACTGTATCATCCCTATCTTCTTTTGCTATTTCTCCTACATAAATTCTGTTGATTTATACAAAACATCTTCAAAATCCACCTATCTCCCTCCCCTTTACCAAAGCCCTTTCCAGATCTTTGTTGTCTCTTGTCTTGAGTATTATAGCTTCCTTCTCGCTGGCTTCTTTTATGAAGCTCCTGACATCAGCACTCTTTTCAGCATTTCTCACTATCCAAATCCTCTTCAGATGCCTGTATCAGATTTCAGGTCTTTCTTGCACTGAAGGCCTTGCACAAAAGAGGATCTACCTTACCACTCCTTTCTTACGTTCCTAATTTTTTCCATTGTCTTTCTCACCTTTCTCACCTTGTATCTTTTCAAGCTACAGAAATAAATGCATAATTGCTTCCATCCACAATTACATTAAATAGACTTGTGGGCAGCGGAGTCCCCCAGGGCTCAGTCCATGGGCCTGCACTGTTCAATTTCTTTATCAGCGATTTGGACAATGAGGTTGAAAAACAACCTGTTTAAATTTGCTGATGATACCAAAATTTGGGGTGAGGTGGGCACGCTAGTAGGGAGGGAAAGACTGCAGCAAGACCTGGATAGGTTGCAGGGGTGGGCTAACAAAAACAGGATGCGTTTCAATACTGACAAGTGCAGGGTGATGCACTTAGGCAGTAGTAACCAGCAGCACACTTATAAGATGGGAAACTCCCTTCTTGAGAGCACGGAGGCAGAAAGGGATCTTGGAGTCATTATTAACTCCAAGATGAACATGGGCTGACAATGAGAGGTCACGGTTGGCAGGGCTAACTGGGCCTTATCGTGCATCCACAGGTGCTTCTCAGGGCCAAGGAAGTGATCCTCCCCCTCTATGCCACACTGGTCAGGCCACAGCTGGAGTACTGTGTCCAGTTCTGGGCACCCCACTTCAAGAGGGATGTGGACCACATTGAGAGGGTCCAGAGGAGGGCCACCCACATGATCTGGGGACAGCAGGGCAGACCCTACAATGAGAGGCTACGGGACTTGAACCTGTTCAGCCTTCACAAGAGAAGGCTGAGGGGGGACCTGGTGACTGTCTATGAACTCACTAAGGGGGACCAGAAGGGTTTCGGGCAGACCTTGTTTCCCCTAGCGCCCCCATGGATAACAAGGAATAATGGCCACAAGTTGTTGGAGAGTAGGTTTAGATTAGACATCCGTAAGAACTATTCACAGTTAGGGCGGCTAGGATCTAGAACCAACTTCCAAGGGAAGTGGTGCTGGCTCCTACCCTGGGGGTCTTTAAGAAGAGGCTTGATGCCTACCTAACTGCAGTCATTTGAGCCCAGTTTTCCTCCTGCCCAGGCAGGGGGTCGGACTTGAAGATCTACAAGGTCCCTTCCGACCCTACTTCTATGATTCTATGATTCTATGAAAAAAACCAAAACAAGCCTCAGGCATGTGGATAGGATGTAAATCGGCATTCTTCAGGGTGTAGGATTATACATTCATAGGAGAGTAGGGCTAGAGGGGACCTCACAAGGTCATCTGTTCCAGCCCCTTCCTCAAGGCAAAATTATCACGCATGATTGGGCTGTATGCATAGACAGCTATAGGCTGCACAGAAGGGATTGGGTAGGGAAAAAGGAAAGGATGAAGGCATGCTGCTCCTGTGTGTAAAGGACCAGTATGTTTCCGTGGAGACCCAAATTGGTTTGAGAGAAGGGCAACTTGATACCCTGTGGGTCAAGATATGGGGAGGATGAGGAAAAGGGGACTTGATGGTAGGCATCTACTACAGACTGCCAAACCAGGAGAAGAAACTGGATCTGGAATTTTCCAGAGAACTGATGGAGGCTGCACATTCAAGGGAACATGGTTGTCATGGGTGACCTTAGTTACCCTGACATCTGCTGGGAGGAGTACTCGGCCAGATCTGACCGGTCATATAGGGTTTTGACCTGCATGGAAGAACTTTATTTTGTACAGGAGGTGAACAGACTGACATGGGGGAAGGCTTTGTTGGATTTGGTTCTACCCAAAGGGGATGACCTGGTGGGAGACCTGAGGATTGAGGGTAATCTAGGAGATAGTAATCATGAGATGATAGAATTCACTATCCATTGTAGGGCAGGGAAGTCAGCCAGTAGGCCAGAGATGCTTGATTTCAGGAAGACTGACTTCAGTGAGCTTAGGAAAATAGTGGGAGAGACCCTATGGCAAGAGGGACTGGAGGGGAAGGGAGTTCAGAAAGGGTGGTTTTTCCTCAAAGGAGTGATCCTCAGAGTGCAAGAAAAATCCATTTCTGGATGCAGGAAAGGTGGTAAAAGGGATGGAAATCCATCTTGGTTGACCAGAGGAGTCAAGGAGTGCTTAAAAAAGGAAAAGGAGGCTTACAGTCAGTGAAAACAATAGGTAATCACCAAGGTAGAATACACAAGTATAGCCCGTATTTGTAGGGAGAGGATAAGGAAGACAAGGGCAGCAACTGAGATCAGGACCAAAATCAAGGAGAATAAGAACTCCTTCTTTAGGTATATGGGGAGCAGGAGAAAGTTTAAGGGAAATGTGGGGCCCCTGCATAATGGGACAAGACAGCTGATAACAGACAGTCAAGAGAAAGCTGAACTTTTTAATGAATACTTTGCATCTGAATACAAATAGTGGTCACCCATCTGGCTGGATACTGGGTGGATGTGGAGGGGGGGATTGCCACCCCCTGGTCAGTGTTGAACTGGTGGGGAAGCACTTAGAGAAGCTGAATGTCTTGACGTCAGCAGGACCAGATGGACTACAGTTGAGAGTGCTGAGGGAATTGGCTGGAGTTATTGTGGAACTGTTGGTGAAGATATTGAAGACTTGTGTTGCTTAGGGGAGGTCCTGGAAGACTGGAAAAGGGCCAATGTGGATTGCCACCCCCTGGTCAGTGTTGAACTGGTGGGGAAGCACTTAGAGAAGCTGAATGTCTTGACGTCAGCAGGACCAGATGGACTACAGTTGAGAGTGCTGAGGGAATTGGCTGGAGTTATTGTGGAACTGTTGGTGAAGATATTGAAGACTTGTGTTGCTTAGGGGAGGTCCTGGAAGACTGGAAAAGGGCCAATGTGGTGTCAGTCTTTAAGAAGGGGAAGAGGGAGAATCCGGGAAACTATAGGCTTGTCAGTTTGACTTCAGTACCATATACTTGGATTTTAAAAAGGCATTCGATATAGTCTCTCTTGATGCTCTTAAAAAATGGGGGACTGTAGGCTGACAGAGTCTATAGTCAGGTGGGTTGGGAACTGGCTAAGGGGTCAAACCCAGAAAGCATTAGTGGATGGGTCTGTATCATGTTGGAGGGAGGTCACCAGGGGTGCCCTGCAGGGTTCGGTTCTTGGCCCTGTGCTGTTCAACATCTTTATCAATGATTTAGATGAGGATGTGGAAAGCACGCTGGCCAATTTGAAGATGATACTAAGTTATGGGGAAAAGCAGTCACACTAGGGGATAGGATGCGGATACAAGCAGACCTGGACAAGCTGAAAAGGCGGGTGGAACAGAACCAGATGCAGTTCAATAAGGATAAATTCAGAGTACTTCATCTTGGGAGGAGTAACCAGTGACATCAATATAGGCTAGGAGGATATATGTCGCTTGTCAGTTGTCCCATTTGGTTTAGCAGGGGTCCAATGTTACCCTTGCTTTTCTTCTGACTCCCCACATATATAAAAAATAACTTTTTATTGTCCTTGATATGTGTAGCCAGGTGGAGTTCAGTTGCAGCCTTCGCTTTCCTGA